TACAAACGTGTATTTTCTGTCCTATTACAAACGTGTATTTTCTGTCCTATTACAAACGTGTATTTTCTGTCCTATTACAAACGTGTATTTTCTGTCCTAATACAAACATGTGTATTTTCTGTCCTTTTTCTGTCCTAATACAAACATGTTTATTTTCAGGTTTTATCAGGAAGGCCTCAAAACAATCAACCATTTCCAGTCGTTTATAGAAAATCTTGTGATCCAGCTAAACCAGATAAAACAGCAACAGAACAAGGAACGACAACAACTGATCGACCTCCGCGACTCCCTCAAGGAAACTATGACATCGTATAAAGAGGTGTGCTCACCCTCACTATCACTACTAATCCTACCTGAAGATTAAAATCCTAACTAAAAGGAAAACCCTGACCCCCCCCCCCCCCAAAAAAAAACCCCACCCTATCAAGGACCAATGACCTTAAAACCTCTCCTATCCAAAATCTTTTAGCTCACCTGGCCCAAAGGGCCAAGTGAGCTTATGCTGTGGTGCGGTGTCCGTTGTCCGTCCTTCATCAACTTTTTACTTTAAACAACTTCTTCTGAATAACCAAGAAGCCTAGGGGGTTAATAAATGGCCAGTAGCATGCTGGGATAAAGGACTACCAAGTTTGTTCAAATAAATGACTTTGACCTATACTCAAGGTCACATGGGTCAAATATGATAAACCTTTTAAACAACTTCTTCTTAATAACCAAAAGACAGAGGATGTTGATATTTTGCAAATTACATGCTAGGATGAAAGGCGACCAAGTTTGTTCAAATGACAGGGGCCAAATAAAAAACCTATGCGGCTTGTTCTAATTGATAACCTTAACTCATTTGCCAGGTAACACCTTGGGCAAATGTTTTGAAACTTTTAAAATGCTTCCTGTAAATACCTTTAAATGACCTATTCTCAATAGTGTGAAATTAATACCAGGTGAGCGATGCAGGCCCATTGGGCCTGTTGTTAAGATTTACTTTGATTTTAGCATACTACAGTCATTATACATATTATTTATCTGTCTTCCCTGTGGCATCAAATGTAGGAAATCGTAACATATTTACTAAGGAATGTGATATACATCATCAGTAATTACTACTAAGGACCATTACACCCCCCGACACCATATCCTTTATCCTGGATCAACTAATACGGGTATCAACTGGTAGGCAACAATCTTATTTATCTCCGTAAACCACTCATCCTTACTCCTTGATTAACTTACAATATAGTGATTGACCCATACCAGTATTAACTGACCCCATGTACCATAAGATTGCAGCTTGTACACCTAACATGTATATAATGCCCCCATATCACATTCCTCCTCTATTATCAGTTGTCCGACTAACATACCTGTACAGTGTACTAATATTTGTGATGTATTTGTTCCTACAAGCATTCCCATAACCGGATCTCCATAGCAGGCTGGGTAACTGTTCACCGACTGTTGTTACATGTTGTCGTTCTACACCAAACATGGATACATATAGTGCTAATCAAACATCATAGTTATAAACATTTGTCATTTTCCTATTTATCCTGATTTGCTCATAACCCCTCCAATCAAAAACTGATTGTGATGTTAGTTTTTGTTCCCATGATGTCATTGTGTTGTTTCTGTCCACACTCGATCTGTCATACCTATTGGGATGACAGGAAATCATACCCTAGCAGGTCACAGAGAAATCCTGAACTGGTAAAAGGGAGACAATTCAGGGAATAATGGGAGAATATGAACTTGGTTTGTTCGTTTATTTGGCCTCATGAAAATTAATTGTGATGTATCAAATACCTTCCTACAGGTATTTGCATTAACCCTTTCACCTCTATGTAACTTTAGTAGACTCTACAATGCTTTGATATGGATGAGTCCATTATGGTGAAATCAGTGTTCTAATCAGGTTTATTTTAAGAAACAGTGGGTGGAATGTTCACACATTATTATGATGCCCTTAAAGTTAGGTATTGGTAAGGTCTGATCTCACTACCGGGGGTATAGAAATACAAAGAAATATCACCAGAGGTTGAATTAAGGAGTTTGACTTGATAGGGTTACTGATCCTACTCTTGGTAAACAAGAGGCTATGTGCAGAAACAGGGTGTTCTTTGAGTGCCAATTTATATCTCCTGAGGTTAGGATAAACTTGGTGTAACATAAACCATCTTGAAGTATGATATCCATGTTTGGTGTATGGTGAAAAGGAGTTAGTCTTGACCTAGCATTATGAAATTTTCTCAATAATAAATTGATGTCGTTTTAGATACACAACCCTGTGATAAAGAAGCAATACCTGCTCCATGCAAGTTAACAGAACTGATGTCTTTTGATTCACTATTCCTGTTTTATTCATCCGAGGAGTAAGAACTCCTATAAAACCATTATATGGACTGCTGGGGTCAAGACTAACAATCTGCTTTAAGCTGGGTGTTGTACTGTACACTGAGTGTTGATAAACTGAGCCCTTCAGGGTTTGCATGACCAGTGGTGATGGCTGAAACGGGAATTTCTGTGTCTGTTTGCTTAATGTACTTAGCTTTCTGTTTACTTTCTGTATCGTATTCCCTCCTGAAAAACAAACATAATCTTTGTTTTCTAATTACACTGTATGTGACAAACATATAGATATGTAGTTTTTATTGCCCCTGATAGACAAACATACCAATATTCTGTATAGACTTGTTGTTGTCCCCAGCTCTGTAAAGAAGTCTAGGATGTGCCTGTTTCTTAAAATTGCATTTAATTCTATCACTGGTTTCACCACTTGTAAGGAGAAATATCAATCCATCATCTACAAACAATATTTGTCAATGTTCTTATTGATTTCTGGCAGTCTACATTTGTAATTTTTCCTTGATTTATTCACTGTTGATGATAGGAAAGATAACTCTGTTATGTAAATGTGTTATATGCATATCTGATCTTTTGTATGAATTTTAATTAAAAATTGAATTCTGACAGCCGACATCAGCCACCAGCAAACCACACACAGGTTATAGCCTGCACCAGCTCCAGGGGAACAAGGCACACGGCTGTGTACGGGACGGCTACCTGCTCAAGAAAAGTGAGGGGCGCATCAAAAAAGTCTGGCAGAAACGCAAATGTATCATTACAGGTGGACTCATGTTCATCAGCCACTCCGACGTAAGTATATAGTGATCACATGATTATAATCCTCCAATCATGTGTAAGTATACAGATCATTTGATAATAGTCGACCAATCATGTGTAAGTATACAGATCATGTGATAATAATCCACCAATCAGGAGTAAGTATACAGATCATGTGATTATAGTCGACCAATCATGTGTAAGTGTACAGATCACGTGATTATAGTCCACCAATCATTTGTAAGTATACAAATCATGTTATTATAATCCACCAATCGGAAGTAAGTATACAGATCATGTGATTATAGTCGAACAATCATGTGTAAGTATACAGATCATGTGATTATAATCCACCAATCATGTGTAAGTATACAGATCATGTGATTATAGTCGACCAATCATGTGTTAGTATACAGATCATGTGATTATACTTCACCAATGATATGTAAGCATCCAGGTTGTATTATCATCCTCAATGTGCAAGTGTAACTGGTCACATGATTATTATATACCAATTAGGAGCAATCTATTCAAACTTCAACCTAAAGAAAGATTACATTCCAAAGAAAACTACATTTATTTGAATCTCAAAGTTATATAGAAAGTTCAGTGGGTTTTTTTTGAGATTATAAATGTCGAAATAACTTTAGGAATGTCTCACATGTAACAAATCAATTTGTCTTTTCATTCCAGGAAAGCAAAGACCCGGTGAAACTGAATCTGCTTACTTGCCAAGTCAAGGTAGCTACCATCATTAAATTCCACAATACTGACTTCAAAAGATGAATGTTAAGAAATATAACGACTGAATTGTTCATTCCTGTTAAAGTATCCAAATGATTTGATGGATATATCTAGTGTTGTATTTCTACTTATATTAATTTATCTCAACACCTGTAGTATGTTTTACACTATCCACCCCTGTAGTTCGACTATTACCTGTATAATTCTTACCTGTACAATTGTCATCTGCGCATGATTGATTTTAACAATTTTGAATTGGTTCTTTTTGCTAACAGCTAGTCCCAGACGACTTGGTGAAAAGGTGTTTTGATCTAGTCTCAAGCTCAAGTGAGTAAAAACCAATGGATAATCATAATCAACTTTTTGAATGAAAGATTAACGCACATAAGTCATATGAAGATGAATGTCTATGGCAACACTACCGGAAAAAAAAGAGTTGTGAGAAAAGAAATAGATATAAAATATTTCAATGCTGGCAGCGGCCAGACCAATGTTGATTTCTTTAATTTCCACCTGGCAGAAAACCCATAATTCTAATTAATTGTATAATGTTATACATCTGCAGTGTATGAAAGTTGTCAGAATTGATCCATATTTGTATGTCACAGATAACAGAACATACCACTTCCAGGCTGACGATGATAAGAACATGGAAGAGTAAGTAAACAAACTGGTTTAGTAAAACAATAATTTCTCTATTTGAGCTCATCACTTACTTTAAGGGAAAGAAAGCTTATGTTTTTGTGTGGTGTCTGTTTTCCATGCCTCGGCCATCTACCAACTTTTCATTTAGAAGATCACTAGTAAAGAACAGTTGAATTGATTTGACAAAATTTGGTGTTAGGCATCCCTGGGCCAAGGGGAGTTAATATTGTATAAATGAAGTACATGATACCCCTTGGGTACATAGGGTGGGCAGAACAGAGACGGTATTATTATCTGTATACCCTGCTGTCTGAATTGATTGGAGAATCCTGTAAGGTCCCACACATCCCTCCCTGGATTGACCTTTTAGAGGAATGTTAGTCTAGTGGTAGAACACTGATATGGTTTCATGACTGAAGGGTTGGGGATTTGGGACCTGTCATGGCCCCATGTTGTATTTTTGAACAAGATACTTTACTGTGCTTGTTCCAGTCTGCTCAGCTGTAAATGAGTATGTGGTTGGGTAGTGCTAGAATTGTTGAATGCTAGCTGTGAGCGCCGAAATGGCAGCACCGGTTGTATGCTCCCCAGGGAGTTGAGAAAGATATTGGTTCAATAACAACAGATAATGATTTGTGAACTGCTTTGAGACGACCTTGGTTGGAATCGAGCAGTATATAAGACCCTCAAATTGTTATTATCATTCATAAACTGTTGATATTCTTCTTGGAATTTTTGTGTTTATCCTCATCTTTAGCTCGCCTGTTCAGAGAACAGAGATCTATAGCGTTACCCCCGGCTTTAGCGTGAAAATGTGAAAGTTTTACCTGCAAGTTATCTACAAGCTTGTCATTCTTTAAATTTGTGTAGTAGAATGCTGATATTTGGCATGGAGGTTCCTGTGGGGTATAATATTGATGTAGGGAAGTTAAAATTAAAAAATAATTTCATATTTCAATTTTTTTACACTTGTTTTGTACTTAACGTTTTTGGACCACATCAACATTAAAGTTTTAACTGCAAGTTATTGAGAACCTTGTCGGTCATTAAATATGTGTACTATGATGCTGATATTTGGCATGAAGGTTCCTGTGGGGTATACTATTGATCTAGTGAAGTTAAAATTTATAAACAAGAACCTTGTCATTCATTAAATATGTGTACTAGGATGCTGATATTTTGAGGTTCCTATGGGGTAATAAGAAGTGAAGTTAAAATTAAAAACTAAATCTTTTTTTTTACTTTTGACCTGTTTTGAAATTTACGTTTTTTACAAACAAATGTTTAAATAGGATAACATTTTAAACAGGCGAGCATTTGGTGGCTTTGACACCATCTCTGGTTGGTGTAATAAGATTTAACTCTAGAAAACCTGTGTTTCTGTACTTGTTGTCGACCAAGGGAAATAACTCTTGCCCCACTGATGGGTTACAGGTGGATTTCGGTGTTAAACAATGCTAAGGAGGAGGTTCTGATGCAGGCGTTCCAGAGCAATAGCAACACTCCCGCGCTGAACCAGAGTGTACGGGAACTAACAGCCAGTATTATAGACCGAGTACGTCGGTTACCAGGCAACAACGTCTGCTGCGACTGTAGTGCACCAGGTACGATATACATAAAGCACCGATACCCAACACTGGTCTTGATTTCGAAACGGGGGAACACATTTAAGAGGACTGGGGGGATAAACAGAAAAGTTGTTTTCTGAAAGCTTATTTTTAAAAATTTGCAGTGACAATATTATAAAAAGAATATTCTGGAATTTATTTCAGAACTCAAAGTGTCCAGATGAACAGGATTCTACTAAGGATCAAGTACTTCCTTCGATTTATTAACTTTTGATGGCTCCCTAAATTATTTGAATTAAAAAAATTCAAGCAATGACATAATAGTATAATTTGCCATTATGCCATGAGCTTAAAACTATATTACTTCAAAGAAATAAAGAGAATTTTGCTGAACTTTTCTTTTTAGATCCTGAATGGTTATCCACAAACCTGGGTGTGCTGATTTGTCTGGAGTGCTGTGGTATCCACAGACAACTAGGTGTACATATTTCTAGGACCCAGAGTCTAGTTATAGATGAGCTGGGTACCTCACAGTTACTGGTAAGTCATGGACAACTAGGTGTACATATATCTAGGACCCAGAGTCTAGTTATAGATGGGTACCTCACAGTTACTGGTAAGTCATGTATAACTAGGTGTCCATATATCTAGGACCCTGAGTCTAGTTATAGATGACCTGGGTACCTCACAGTTACTGGAAAGTCACAGATAACTAGGTGCACATATATCTAGGACCCAGAGTCTAGTTATAGATGAGCTGGGTACCTCACAGTTACTGGTAAGTCATGGACAACTAGGTGTAGATATATCTAGGACCCAGAGTCTAGTTATAGATGAGCTGGGTACCTCACAGTTACTGGTAAGTCACAGATAACTAGGTGCACATATATCTAGGACTCAGAGTCTAGTTATAGACGGGTACCTCACAGTTACTGGTAAGTCACAGATAACTAGGTGCACATATATCTAGGACTCAGAGTCTAGTTATAGATGGGCTGGGTACCTGACAGTTACTGGTAAGTCATGGACAACTAGGTGTACATATATGTAGGACCCAGAGTGTAGTTATAGACGGGCAGCTCACAGTTACTGGTAAGTCATGTATAACTAGGTGTACATATATCCAGGACCCAGAGTCTAGTTATAGATGAGCTGGGGACCTGACAGTTACTGGTAAGTCATGGATAACTAGATGTACATATATGTAGGACCCAGAGTGTAGTTATAGACGGGTACCTCACAGTTACTGGTAAGTCATGGACAACTAGGTGTACATATATCTAGGACCCTGAGTCTAGTTATAGATGACCTGGGTACCTCACAGTAACTGGTAAGTCATGTATAACTAGGTGTACTTATATCTAGGACCCTGAGTCTAGTTATAGACGGGTACCTCACAGTGACCAGTGAGTGATTAACTTTGAAAAAAAGTATTAAAAATTGCAAAATGAAATGGATCTTTTCCTTTAGAGTTTAACTTAAACTTTCTGTCTATACCATATTTTGTTCTGTGATATGATTATACTAATTGTTTTATTAGTGTTTGTCTTTTTGTTACAGATAGCTAGAGTGGTTGGAAACGGGTATTTTAATGACATACTAGAGGCCAAGTTAGATCCTTCAACTAAACCAACATTATCTAGTCCAATGTAAGTATTAACTTATCTGCTAAACCAATATCTCGTCATTTTAAACATCATTATGTAGTCCAGTATAACAAGATTTACAAACGTTCATAAACAAATGGGCCCACAGAAGAAAAAGTCTAAAAGGTATCATTCATTAATATTTAGCTCTCCTGCCCGAAGGGCTAGTGAGCTTGTTGTCCGTCATCCGTCACTTTTCCTTTAAACGACTTCTGAAAAATGAACATGCCTACAGTCATGATATTTGTGTGATAGCTTAATTGGTAATAGCCCAACAAAGTTTGAGAACGAAAATGACCTCAACCTACTTTCAAGGTCAAATATGTCAAACACTTCAAATGACTTCTCCTAACTGCTTGAATATCCAGGTGAGCGATACAGGCCCTCTGGGCCTCTTGTTTTTATTAACACTGGCAATTTTCAAAATTATTTCACAAAATTGATTTTTTTCAGGGATGAGAGACTTAATTTCATAAAGTCCAAATACGAGGAGCACAAATACGCAATAATCACATGTACATACAAGGAGGACCTCAAACAGGACCTGAAACAGGCGATACTGACACACGACATTAACGCCCTGCTCCAGGTGTATGCCGAGGGATTGGATCTGATGGCCAATCTACCCGACTGTGTGAGTATTCCCTGTTTATATATTACTGCAGCATTTTTGAGACAATGTTATTTTTTGTCTCGCCTTCATGAAGTCGCGGAAGCGAGACTAAGGTGTTGCTTTTCTGGCGACGGCGGCGTCAACAATGCGTTTAAGTTTGTTTCTATGAAAATTTGAGTGCTACACAAACCAAGCTTAGCATGTGCATTGATGGTCAAAGTGGGGCACAGGTGAGACAGATGGCTTGTCTGATTTTCATCTTGGTATGATGAATCAGCGGATCAACAATCTAGATACCTTGATAGTTTGTTATGTTTACTTAATATTCCATAACAATTTGTTATAATATTCGTCCCTAGTTCATTCACGAATATGTAATTACATAATCGTTTATAAAAATCGTATACAGAATCACAGTAGAGTACATGACACTACATGCTATTGTGCCTAATTCAGTGACATAGTTATTTTAATATGGGTTTAATGTCTTATTGAATCCAGTAGTTTATTTGCTTATGTTCGGAGACAAAAAAATAATACATATTTTATAAGAGAGACAAAAGTAAGGAGGGGGCTTAATTGCAGGCACCCACCCTGTTCCCAGGACATTTGCAAAAGTGGGGAGGGGCTTAGTTGCGCGTGGGGTCTTATTTTCGGTCAAACACTGTAATCGGCATGACTGGGCCTTTCTAGAAAGAATGTGACTCAGTATTTCTAGCCCAGTAACACTAGCGGTGGTGGTTTTTGTACGTGGTAAAACTGTATGAATGTGTTTCAGGAGAACGGTGAGACAGCCTTACACCTGGCCATTGAGGAAGAGGAGGGCTATCCACCTCATATTGTAGACTTTATCATCCAGAACTCCTCGCCGTAAGTCATTGCTGTATGACCAATGTGCGATATGATTGACTTGTTTGTCAACTAAGTTATAAATCGAAACAAGAGATGACCAGACATCAAATGGAGAGTCTCGGCAAATTTTATCCAGTTTACATGTTTCGGCCCACAGAAATTGTCTATAACTGTTCATAGCGGGCTGAAACATGTAATCTGGATTAAGTTTGCCAAGGCTCCCCATTTAATGTTGTTTTGGCATCTCTTCTTTTGAATTTCAATTACTCTTATGACCAAACTTGATAATTCCATTTAGGAATTCATCAATATGGGTACACAGACCTTCACTAAATCTTCACTCACGGACATTGGATCTCATACTCCCTGGTATAAGTTACAAATCAGTTCTATGTCCATTACGTTATAAACAACTTGAATGATTACTATACAGCTACAAGTACCAGGTAACCTGTATGGCCATTTATCTATTAATCCCTCGTACATCAATTAAACTATAAACCACTTCTTATATGTTCACTTAACTCATTTACCCCTACATATTTAAACTGGACTTTCCCAGTTTTTGATTTGATAAGGTTCAAACATGGCTATAGGGGTGAATGGATTAACTATTAGTAATAGTCATTATATATCTACAAAGCTATAAGCTATACTTGTTGGTTTACAGAAACAGCCTGACCACAAAGACGTCGGATGGTAATACTGTATTACACACGTGTGCCCTTGGCAACAAATCCGAGTGTATGAAACTGCTGCTGAGAACTAAACCAGAACTGGCTAACATTGAAAATGCTGATGGCAAAACTGCTCTGGATATTGCCCAGGAGAACGACTTTCAACTCTGTACTGATCTGGTAGGTCAATCATACATACACTCAATACACCGATGTACAGCAGTCCGACACTGCGCCTAATTCCAACAGTGATTGGATATCTTCTTTCTCTGCCATTAACTTGTTTGAACTATATCTTAGAAACTACCGTTCAGATTTAATGAAACTTCGCATGAGTATTGGAGGGCATGCATATACTATTATGTACAAGAAGCCTTTTATTTTGTAATTGCCCATCTAAGATGGCCGCTGTGACCTCTGATAGGTCTTAATTCAGATCTTGTGTAATTTTCACTCAAATTTGGTAAATCTGTGTATTATGACACCGTGAACAGCACACTGACCTTAGGTTTCATCTTTTACAACTTTTGGGGGACTGCCTTTACAGTCAGAACTTTTTCTCCTGATAAAACTCAAACCCAAAGATATTTCGTGGACTCAACAAGTTCTACTTGCTTTTATAGGCCTAAGGTGAATATTTGTGCATGTTTTATGGGTTAATGTTTACACACAATTTGGTTTATGTAAACTTTTCTGGTACATTTGCACTTGAATCGGTTAAATTGTTCCTGTATTTGCTGTACTGACATTTGCAGTTCCACTGTAATCCAGGATATAGGTCAGACTGTTGGAATAAAGACATATGATCATATTGTCCTAACAATTTAACGTTTGGGTTTATTTTTGTTATTTTCAGTTAAAAGCTGCAATTCAAGGAAGAAAGGATGTTTTTGAGAATGTCAACATAGATTGGGACCTTATGTCAGTAAGTATAGATCGCTGTAAGAGGCTGACCAATCAGAGAGACTGATAGAATGGCAAACCAACTGATTTGTCCAATGAGAATACAGATAACAGAAATGGAATGGCAATACCTTAACTCTTTGTGTTGGGTGCTTGAGGTGAATCTTAAACAGCGTAGACAAATCGTGACATGTGTAGTAAAAAACAAACCTACAGATACTGAAAAGTGCTGGTATTGAGGTCTGTTGAAGAGAACTGGTAAATAGGTATCCTGGAAACGTTCTAGAATTTGCAATTGTTCCATATTCCCTGAAAAGTACTGGAATATCAACGGTCACCATTACTATAAATATGAAAAAAGGTTTCCATTCAGTAGTTTCTGTGCGTGGATAGTGCAAACATTCTACATTGCTTCCATACATATAGTGCTCCTTGGAATTGCTTTTTAGGTGTGAAGTGCAGAGCGCTACATTCTGCACCAAATATAACAATCAAACCATGTCATCCCTCAGTTTCGACACTGTTTGAGGTGATTAAGATTGATCAGGGATACCTTGTTATATGGATATTGATTTGCAATGAGCATCAATCTGAAAACATCTTAACAATGATATGCATGATTTATTTTGTTTCCAGGACATTTGTTTAAAAAACCCTAAGGTAGTTAACAGTGCTTCATTCCCTATTACAGGAGGAGCCGTACTATCCAGAACACTTCGACAGTGACGACGATTTAGAGGTGGGTATAAGGGTCAGAGGTCTAGGCTTGAATTAGAGGTCATTTTAAGGGTCAGAGGTCATTATCTCAATTAAGCGTGTTAGAAAAATTAGAGGCCAATGACTAAATTAGAGGTCATTATAAAGGTCAGAGGTCAGTATCTGAATTAGAGGTCATTATATGGATAAGAAGTCATTGTCTCAGTTAAACATCATTATAAGAATAAGTGGAATGACTTATTAGAGGTCATTATAAGGGTCAGAGGTCAGTTTCAATGGGGGAATATGGTAATTGTATTCTATTTACATGTTATTGTATTTCTGTCATCAAACGTCCTTTGAAAAGGAAGTGGTATTTTAAAGTGATATCATTTATTAATGTCATTTTTAAGTTCAAGAGAAACATTGAAATATCATAATCTGCTTAAATACAGAATACTCCAGAGAGAAAGCAGAGGTCAAGGCCTCCGAGTCTGATAACTGGGCTGTCTGACCCCCAGGGGAGTCAGAATGATCTTTCAGGAAATAGAGGTCCGTCTGCGGGACCTGGATCTGTCCCATATACCTATAGCAAGCCAAAGAGTAAGTACTTCTTGATGTCCTTCAAGCTGTTCGTAAAACATTGGCCCTGTGGCAAGGAATGGAATGACAAGCAGATACTGCTGAGACAATACTTCAGTTCGCTTTGTGTAAAAAGAAATTGAAAGATTTTCACAGGAAATGTCTTCTTCCTCTCCAGAACGTCCCTTTCTAAATTTCTTCTGTTGACTATATCATTTTCTATAAAAAACAAAATCTATTTTGGATCGTGTGAAACATTAATCAGTTTAGTATGACATGAAGCTAAAATTGATGTCGATATCTACTTTAACAGCTGTTTACTGTAACAAGTTTTACTTGGCCTTTTAACAGTTAATTTAAGAATGGTTTATTGAATCTTATGACAATTTACATGGAATTTGGTAAAAATTGGATTGCTTTTGTATCACTGATATTGATAATTGATCTACAATAGTTTTACAGACTATAGGCGTTATAGAAAAATAATAATTATTCCAGTATCATTTTGCTACTTATAGAGTTTGTAAATCAGCCGGGCAGTAAGCTTCGTAACAGTGTGCGGGGTTGTAAGTAACGAATCCTACCCGCATGACTGTCGTAAAATAATGTAATGGATTATCTCCCCTGAATGTCCTGTGCTTTGTATAGAATGTTGACAATAATCCATTCACCCCTAAAGTCACATTTGAACCTTACCAAATCAATGACTGGGAAAGTCCAGTTTAAATATGTAGGGGTGAATGGGTTAAGTATTATGAGCATGATGATGTTGTGATTTTGTTCAGGATTTCCCCTACTTATCTTCAACACCTAAAACCCAAAGCTAGAGTTCCAGATACACCAACACATTAGACATCCCACAAGTTAGAACCACTACATATGGCATGGAATCATTCAGATACACAGCAGCCTACCTTTCGAACAATCTACCAACACATTTAGAACAACAAATAACTTCACTCACCTCAAATCTTTCATATCCTCCTGGAACGGTACACAATGTAAATGTTCAGCCTCAACTCCATCACCCTCACTTCTACACACACTTCTACACACACTTCCTGTCTCAATTTTAAATGTATTTTATCAGATCTGTGCTAATTTATTGACCATATCACATGAACTCTGATGTGTTTTAAAATATGCTAAGTGTATTGTTCTAACTACAATGTGTAAAATGTGTATACATGTATACTGATATTAGCTCGAAATCAGAAGTGTTTTTATCTTATACAGTGTTTGTGTTGCCTAAATGTTAATCTATCAAACTTGTCCAAGTGTGAATGTCTTTGTATGTAACACCTATGTCGGTCATAAGCTCGATGTTATTTGTTTTAAAATGCCCACCGACTTTAAATAAAATGTATCTTATCTTATATCTAACAGTAACTATGTCACCATGAACGGTCCGTTTAGACAGAACCCCTCAGATTATTTTTGTTCTAGAGACCTAACCCCGGTAGTTATTTCCCTTGTATAATTAGTTTAAACTTTATTAATTTGATAAAGGAAACAATAATGAGTCACTAACAATGTACTAGACAACCTCTAAGGTAGTGGCTTTTGAACATCAACCTTATACAGTGGATGGAAGTCTGACTGACATTTGTTCACTGCTTAACATTAATTCAGTTGTCACTGCTTCGGAAAAAGTACTATGGTAGTTTTATTATACTTAAATTAGCAACTCCGACTTTAGTTCATTATGGAATTAGGCAGATAAAATGGCACAACCACAAATTATGCAATACACAATTTTGTAGGACTGTTTAGTGTCTATCTGATTCAGAGATTTGTAGGAGTGTTCAGAGAGGGAAGTTGATACAAAGTTTTGTAGGACTTTCCAGAAACCTTGGCCCATATTTTAATAAGAGGAAGAAAACCTCACACACTCCTGCTTGAAGAAGTGTGTACATTTAAGTACTGAGAAAATACACGTAATGTTTTTGTCATATGCCTCGTTGGAATAAGAATTATGTTTATTAGCGATAATGCTTGGCTATTCAAATCACCCTGCGTCCGTGGTCCATCCGTCATTCTGTCTGTCCTTAAACAATTCCTGTTAGCGCTATATCTCAGGGGATCTTTCTAAAAATTCACATGAAGGTCCCCAATGATCCCTAGTTATGCATATTGGTTTTTGGGACTGATCAGAAAACAAAGATGGCCGACAGCCAGCCATCTTGAATTTGAGAGTTGAAGTTTGTTGGCGCTATTTCTCAGAAAGTACAGGAGGGATCTTTTTCAAACTTCACATGAAGGTTTCCCATGGTCCCTAGTTATATATATAATGTTTTGGAACTGATTACAAAACCAAGATGGCTGACAGCCAGCCATCTTTAATTTGAGAGCTGAAGTTTGTTGGTGCTATTTCTCAGAAAGTACTCGAGGGATCTTTCTCAAATTATGCATGAAGGTTTCCCGTTGTTCTTACTTACGCATTTTGAATTTTGGGAATGATTGGAAAATCCAAGATGGCTGGCAGGTGTTCCTATTGAATATTGCTCAAAAAAATATTTCAGGGATCATTCTCAAATTTGACAAAAGGGTGTTCCTCTTGTTGTTTTTTTTCATACTCAGATTTCTAGCTCCAGAGTTCTGATTTTTTTTTTACATATATCATTTATAATGCTTGGTATGTATGTTTTAGTAGTACGATAACATCATACAGCATCATACAATAAAAATCTTGGTTTACTTAAAGTGTTAGTTTTGTTAACAGCTATGTGATGGTTAGTTTACACATATGCTGTAATAAAAGATAATGTCCTATATCTTCTCTTTACAATATGTTAATTGGTGATATACATTTTTTCTTTGTTTTTTTATGTTTTTTGGGTTTTTTTTTGGTTCTTTGTAAAGCATATCAAATTATTGGACTGATCTGAAAACCAAGATGCGGACAGGCAGACATCTTGTTACAGTTTAAGTTTGTTACCACTATTTCTCAGAATGTACTGGAAGAATCTTTCTCAAATTTGATATGTAGGTTTCCCTTGGTCCTTAGTTGTGCATGTTAAATTTCGAAGTTGATCTAAAGACTGATTAAGATGGCGGACAGGCTAACTGATCAAACAGATAAGAGAAAAGAAGAGAAAAGATCGAACTGACATAGAACATAGAAGATAGTACAATGGTGGGCGCAAATATCCCTCTGGGATCTCTTGTTGCACTCTATGATCAGATTAGCCTTATTTGAACCAGAGAGTTTATGCATGACTGTTTTTTAAATGCTTTCTGTGTATGTTTTTTAAATGCTTTCTGTGTAGTTAAGTTTTGTGAAGATTCTCCCATTTGACCTACCCTTGTGCACAGCATCTTGGCAACCTCCAGGGGTTTGACTCCACTGGAGTGTATCGCATGACTATTTTGTTGTCTACTGAACAGTATATGTGACAAGACTGAAGTAAATGTGTTGTGATGTGATCAATACACCCTATATGTATCTGCCTGAATGCTATCCTGTTTCCCTTTCATTGGCAGCATGACTATACAGAGTAATCTCCCTTGGCATTTTCATTGTTATCTCATCCTGATTAAGGAAAATTAATCACAAGGGTTATGGAGATTCATCAAGAATATTAGTCTTGGCAAGAAAGGATAGAGGAAAATAAAGCAATTGATATTGGTAAACTAATTTCAGCTATCATTTAACTGACATTTTGACAGATTATTCTATTTTCTTTTGTATTTTTGTCCCAAGCCAGGCCCCATTTGAAATGCATTTCCGGTTATAGTGTAATACAATTAGCAGTGTTACATCAGTTAACAAATAAGTCCCCCCTCCCCCAACACAACTCTCCCTTGTTTCAACAAATAAGTCCCCCCCCCCAACACAACTCTCCCTTGTTTCAACAAATAAGTCCCCCCCCAACACAACACAACTCTCCCTTGTTTCAACAAATAAGTCCCCCCCCCAACACAACTCTCCCTTGTTTCAACAAATAAGTCCCCCTCCCCAACACAACACTCCCTTGTTTCAACAAATAAGTCCCCCCCCCCAACACAACTCTCCCTTGTTTCAACAAAGAAGTCCCCCCCAACACAACACAACTCTCCCTTGTTTCAACAAATAAGTCCCCCCCCCCAACACAACTCTCCCTTGTTTCAACAAAGAAGTCCCCCCCAACACAACACAACTCTCCCTTGTTTCAACAAAGAAGTCCCCCCCAACACAACACAACTCTCCCTTGTTTCAACAAATAAGTCCCCCCCCCCCAACACAACACAACACAACACAACACTCCCTTGTTTCAACAAATAAGTCCCCCCAACACAACACAACACAACACAACACTCCCTTGTTTCAACA